TGGAAACAAAAGTTGGACTTTGAAGAAGCAGGATAGGAAGAGTATTGATGCTTTTGAACTTGGTGTTGACCACACTCCTGAGAATACCACGGACAGCCAATAAAACAAACAAATGGATCATTGGACAAATCAACTCAGTTGAGGCAAATTTATTATACTTTGGACTCATGTGAAGATCTAGCTCTTTGGAGAAGGCTCTAATGCTGAGAAAGGTAGAAGGAAAAAGAAGAAAAGGATGACCAACAGCAAGGTGGATGGACTCAGTTACAGTGGTGATGAGTGTGCATCCAACCACTGTTGGAAGATGTCAAGAACCAGGTTAGGGACAGATTGTCTTGGAGAAAACCTATCCATGTGGTCACTAGGAGCTAATACTTAATGGCATGTAATCAATAAATTAATATAAAGAGGTTATTCACAGGGCAAAATAGCTACTTTCAAATACAGAATGGCTATTCTGGTTCAAATACAAAATACATTCAAAGCTTGTATAACATACTTAATGGAGTCATCATTTATTTAATTAATCCCATTTTCTGGGTTTGTACAGCACACTGAACCCTAACATACCACATGGGCTACAGTCACACAGCATACTAAACTGAATTGCAGTTGGCTAAGTTGAAGTTCAGTGTGTCATGAAAACCTAACCTATAAGAGGCATGCCCTCCTAGTCATTCTGAGCGGCTTTCCCAGATAAAGAGCAGAGAAGCTGGGAAGCCCAGCTAATAGCAGCTTTCTTGCCCATCTTGCTCAAGAATCCCATCCTGGGGCCAATACTAGTTCATCGTAAAAAGAGCCCTAATCACTACTGACTCCTCATCAAACTGGACTCAGATGTTTGGATTCACACATCATGCCAAGTCTATATACTATAACCAGGCACTAAACCAGATAGGGTTTTATAGGTGAACTTTGAATTAGGCCTGGAAGCTTACTGGAATGAGTGCAGTGAACACAAAATGGTGCAGAGGACTACAGAGACAGAAGGTACAAAATGGTGTAGAGGAGTATGAAGTTATGTCTTGAAGAATGTGTGTGGCAGCCATTAGGAAAACCTGAGCCTAGCCTGGAAAGACAGGAGGGTGAGGAAGAAACTCAAGACTTCCTCGCCTTGGTTCTGTTGTAAAAGAGGGAGGGAGAGAGAAACTCTGTTAGGCCTTCAAGATTCTGTATTATACATTATAACAATAGAGTAGAGTTTTGGTAGTTCACATGGTATCTGTTACCTGGTCTATCTCAAAGGGCTGACAATAGTCGTTAGCCATGTGGCCGCTGCATCCTGTGTCAGCTCTAGGTCAGATGCTAAGATAAGCTCCATAAAAGCAGCAATGCATATAGAAATATTTAACTATTAACTATTGGCTGAAGCTGTCGTACTTGCCTCCTTCTTGAATAGCCCCCAAATGTCTTCTGGAACAAAAGCAGCCTAATTTGCCATACTATATGGGCCAGATTTGCCCATCGACAGCTACTAGCTTATGGGCTCTCTGTTGAGGCTTTTACCCACCTTTTCTCTTCTGATGCAGTATATTTATGATTGGACAATCCAATTATATTATTGTGCCTTAGTAAGTAATAAGGTATCACCATGGTTTCCTTTAATTTAAAATTTCCACTGCTATGAAAAATATTTTTATCAATTCAGAATTTTCCAGTAACAACAGCTTTAACTCGATTATGAATGCAGCTTATGCCATCAACAGTTCCTGAAGGCAGGTTTTGAAATATTTCCTATCATTTATGCTTTTATCCATGTGGAACAAATATGATTGAAGATCTCCCTGTTTGCTTCATTGCCCTATTTTTGCAAGACCTTGGGAAAAAATTCTGTCACCTATCTTGCAGAACAAAATGTATTGATAGATCATTATAAAATCATTTCCCTTTTGTCATTTGCTAAAGATTGTTCTAAAAGTTGGATTTGCTTGGTCTGCAGCTGTTTCTGGAAAGAAATTTGTCCAAGCTAGTACCTGCAAGCACAATTTTAAGTAAGTAAGTAAGTGTGTGTGTGTGTATAAGATGTATGTGTGTGCATCTATCTATCTGTCTGTCTGTCTGTCTGTCTGTCTGCCTACCTGCCTTGCCTTGCTTTGCCTTGCCATGTTTTTTTATTCATTTTATAATTTGGTTCTATTTTTATAATTTGGTTTATTATGACATAAATGCTTTCCAAATAATAGTTTTCAGTTACCAACTGTGGTTTCTGAGCTGTCTTCAAAGGCAGCCCCACATGCAGTGCATTGCAGTACTGCAGATATCACATGATTGTGGCATGATGCCAACACTTCCTGCTCCAGGCTGTAACTGGTGTACCAGTCAAAGCTGGGTAAAGCACCCTTGCCACATCTCCACCTGCTGCTCAAGCAGAAGCCATGCTCCAGGAAGACCCCCGAGTCACAGACCTTTCATGGGAAGTATACCCTGTCCAGAGCAACCACAGAACCAACATTTGTAGAGAGATGCGGTGTTTATGGATGGACAACACTCTGCCTTGCTCGGGTTTAAGCTGAGCTTGGGTGTCTCTTTCTCTGTCCCTCACAGCATATAGACTTCTACAGCATCTCTCGCTCAGCCTAGGACAAAAATATCTAGTTGAGTACCATCAAGTGTGCTGATGATACCTCACCCCAAGCTGATGGATTATCTCTTCCAGAGGTTTCATTTAGATGTTAAATAACATGGAGAAGATAAAGGCTGAAATGTTTCCTAAGTATGGAATAACACTGGATAGCCAAAGTGGTCTGGACTGCGATCTTACCACAAGGAATAATCCCTGCAATGGAAGAATCATGAGGGCTATATAAGCCAATGATACAGGCTTGGCCCCATCTTCCAATATTACTACATTACTTTGGGCTAAGTATTATGCATCTCTCCCTGTCACCCACAGTAGCAATTAATAATTGCTCTATTACATGCTATGCAGATTAACTACTCCTTGCTTTAGTTTAGCAGACTGTGCAAACCCATGGGCAAGGGGGATAAAGAAAGACATTTGTGTGACATCATTATATAAATGCCATGATTTGTGTTAGATGTCAAACCACAAGTATCTAAGGGTGGCATCTGCCTGATGACAACATTGCACATATTTTATATTTCTGGCATAATTGCAGTTTGTTATAGCTGTTGTGTGTGTAGTTAGTTTATGATTTGATGTGTTGTGTGAACCCAATTGTAAGCCATGGATAACTTAGGCATGGGAATATGTGTTATGTGAGTACAGTATATATTTTCCAATTACAGTATACAGCAAAGCAAATCAGGCCACCGTCTAAGATCTGGACTGACATATTGCTTGGTTTATATTGCACAACAAACACACATTATGGCAATGTGAATGTACATATTGCAGTAACCCAAACCTGTATTAACTGAGCCACAACTAGCTATCCACGTTTTCAGCCAGGATCCCTCTTTTCTGGAGAGTTTGCATGAAAAGCACGTGCTCCGCCGGGAAGATTCGATCCTTCCTTTGTATTCGAAATAATTTTTTCTCTGGATGGTACAATTAAATCAGCCACCTTTCTTTTGTGCCATAAGACCAAGACAATTTGTGAAGGTCACTTTTGCCTTCCCCCAAGATTGCAGCCTCCACAACGTCTGAGTACGGTGATTGCTTTTGCGTTATCCTCCTGGCAAAGGAAAGTATACCATCGATACGACCTTATATTAATAGTACTAGCTATCAAACTATAACCCGAAGTGTAACACTACAACAGGCTCCCTGTACCCTAGAGATTCTCCACCCAACTATTCACCCCCTCTCTCACCATCTCGGTTTAACCCACATCAGCGTATCAACACTCGCCTTCTGCGCACGCGTAAAACAGCCCAGCACCCCTCGTTCTTAAAAAAGTACCCACCGCCCCAGCTGGCAGAGTTCCGATTGGTTTGTTCGCTATTGGCGCCGCCGCCAATGAGAGCAGCAGGCGCGGGTCCCCGCCTCCCCGCAACGTGCTCGCGCTTGTTCCAGTGACAAGATCCCGCAGCGGCAGCGCCTTCTTCGCGACGGGCCGAGATGGCGCTTGCCGGTCTTGGGCTCCGGAGGGCGGCGGTCTCCACCCTTCGGCTCAGTCTCACTACGGGGTCTCCATCCCGCAGGCGCGCGGCGCATTTCACTTTCCAGCCGGACCCGGAGCCCACCCAGTATGGTGAGCGCCTTAGTCGTCCTCGCCCGGGTCCGTGCTGCCGTCGTAGCGAGCAGACGCCGCTCCAGTGTCTCCCGGCCTCTTTGCAGTCTCTGGAGTTGAGGGGAAGCGAGTCAGCCGGAGTGGAGTCAGTCCCCTGTTGCTACGGCTTTCTCGTCAGTCCAGCTGGCTGAGGTGGTGGGAAGGGAGGCAGCATCTCTGCAAGTGGGGGACTGGCTTTTTCAAATGCCTCTGGCGCAATAGTCCAGGGTCTTACGAAAACGACGACCCCGGTGTGTGGATTCTGCCTGTAAAAAGTCTTGGACGCGAGTCAAAAAGTACTTCCTTCCCCCTTATAGCCTAAAATGAAGTTTCTACCACCTGTGTAGATGCAGCCACTTGATGTGGGGAAAATAGTACAGAGACGTTAGGAAATAGTGTGGGACAACAATATACTAAGCTGACAGCACTTACTAAGTGCCTGGTTGAAATTCAGGTTGTCCCTTCTTGTGTTATATTATTTAAGGAGAGAAAAAGGACTTCTGTGAAGAGTTTTATAGAAGAGGAAATTAGAGTAGATGCAGTTTGTCATTCATAGCTGAGGCCTTGCACCTTCTGCAGTGTGTTGCAGTATTTGCCTTTGTAACTGCGGAGAATGACAGTCTTGTGCCATCGTGTCTCTCTCTTCCTTTCCTGTCCTCATCATGGCAGGCTGATGCTTTATTTTAACAAAAGATTTGTTTTTCTTCCTCCCTTTGAATATGGAAAGAGCATGAGTGATATTGAAAAACCCACTTCAGATGGGAGGGAAAGTAATAAAATAATACTTCGTTGTTGAACATATATATATA